GTACTAAAAATATTAAATATCATGCAGAAATACCAGCTTTCAAAGAATTTAAGAACTATTATTTGTTGACTTTTATTCTTTATGACTTCCACAAATTTTTTGACAGAGTCACAGGTATTAATGACCTTATTATAATTAAATTTATTATACATTAAACAATTAATTGGTGATCGCTTAACGATTCCAATAACCAAATTATATAAAACATAAAAAAGGTAAAATCAAGTATGATTTAAATGCTGTAGAAACGGTATCTTATGCTAATTTAGACGATATCAATGAAATAATAAAAGAAACCCTTAAAATAAAAATATTACAAAATATTCAAATAAAGAATCAAATTATTTTAACCGAAGTTATCTAAAAAAGAGAACAAATTATTTGGACAAAAACACCAACGCGATTCAACCAAAGAACCAAGCAATTTTCATACAACACCTTCATCTTTATTCCATTATGACTAGGTATAATTATTTTTTTTTTTTTTTATTGTGTGTCATCGGCTTCAACTGCTAAGGTTATTTCGCCTGGTGTTCTGTGTAGGCTTTGTTACTGTTTCCCAGCGCCACTTTAGGAACAGCACTGTTAATTAGAACCCAACAGTGAATGGTCGAGTGGGGAATTCTACCAAGGCATCAGAATTAATTTTAAATAATTAAATTAAATGAAAAAATCCCGGCCAACGGTGAGGTATTATTATTATTATTAGCCAACTATTTGTGTAATTTGAAATATTTTATCTTTCTAAACATTAACAATACAACTAAAAATTGAATATTTTTATAAAAATACAACATCTGCATTCCTTGTAATATCTCTATTGGTATATAGAATATTAACAAACCAACCAGTCTGTCAACATTCTGTTAAAACTGTATATTAAATGGAAAGTAAATTTTGCAAGGCAACGCTTGTATTACTCAAGAGACCATATTTGAGATGGTCTGTGGGCAGACTATTCTAATAAAAGATGCCAATATACTGGGTATCCCAGAATTGTTATAACAATCTTTCGTGGAAATGTTCTGAAGTTATCGCCAAAATTTTATCATTTGCACTAAATGACGTGAATTAGAATGACAACTATAAAATATTATCTTTAAAGGTACCTAAATTAAAGTTCAAGGATCAAAGTTTGATGTAGTATGGCCAGGCTTACCTCACATTGGTCAGCAATTGGATTGAAGAACTTTATTATCAAAAATTCTCGTATATGAAAAAAACGATGTAAAAATATGGCAAAACAATTGTAATAATATTACTAAGGAATTCGCCACATTATTCTGTTCTTTTTTTAAATACTTGTTTAAAGGAATTTAAGATAATTTTATATTTACTTTCAAATTTCAAGGATATGGTATATATATTTTAAATATATATGCTTTAACTGCAATATTATTATTTTGAATTCATTAAAGCAGAACTTATATCCATTCAATAATTTAGAAAGAAAAATTGTGTAGTAGTATTATATATATTTTCAACAAGATTATGCTGTTCAAACTAAAACAAAAACTTCGTGATCAAATATATCTGATAATCAAATCAATGATTCCCTATCCAATTACAAATCCTTTAAATTTAGAGTTCCCCAAGGTAGTGTCCTTTACCCTTTCCTATTCTGTTTGTACACTGCAAATGTTCCAAATATAAACAACACTTTATTGCTGCGATTACTATAATAATGGCGGTAAAATAATGAATGAAAAAATATCAACTACCAGGAAAATAGTTATTTAAAAGAAAAACTGACATCCTCGATCTTGAAGCCTTGAAGATGTGCAAAAAATCAATAACTAGTCTTCAAAACATACATTTTTGATGTGAGGTTATCAGCTCTACCGAAATTCCCATGAAATTTGAATTAAAATATTTAGGACTATTCATAAACCAAAAAATCTGATGTGTCCAACACATGACTTTCCTATCTAGTTATTACAGGCTTTTTCCGTTTATTGTGTACAACCTATTGCAGCATCTCTATAAATGTTTAGAGGATAAACTAAATATATACATTGTCCACATACATCTACCGCGAAACATTTTTCTATAGATATTCATTGAAAATGAAAATACTGAAAAATTTAAATTTAGCACTTTTCCTACAATTTTTCCATTACGGTCCATTTAAAAAAAATCATGTATGAACAAATATTATAGAGATCGATATCGCAAACATTTTTTATTTCAACAATTTTCATTAAAATCAGAATTTTGCACATTTTGTCAAATTTCTCGAATACGGACCATTTCAGGAAATTTTTACATAAGATAAAAATTATAGATAATAATATTAGAAGTAACTTTTATTTGAACAATTTTCTTCACCAAACATAAATAACAGATATATTCCATAAAATATATAAACGGCCTCCCATAAAGTACCCCCCCAGATGTTCCGACTTTGTCCAAAATCTAATCATTTCACGTCAGGCCAAAATAAAACTTAAGTTTAAAATTTATTGATTTTTTCTTTATCCGTTTTTGAGTTTTCTTCAAATTTCGAAATTTACACATTTTCTCAAATATCTCGAATACGGTCCATTTTAGAGAAATTATTTATGGGACAAAAATTATAGAGAATTATATTACAAACAACTTTTATTTGAACAATTTTTATAAAAAAAAATATTTTTTTACATATTGTCAAATTTCTCGAATACGGACCATTTTAGGAAAATTTTGTAAATAACAAAAATTATAGATAATAAAATAAGAAGTAACTTTTATTTAAAAAATTTTCTTCCCCAAACGTAAATAACAGATATATTCCATAAAATATAAAAATGACCACCTATAAAGTACCCACCCAGATGTTCCGACTCTGCCCAAAATCTAATCAGCTCATTAGACGCTGGAATAAAGCTTAAGTTTGAAATTTGGTGTTTTTCCGTGTATCGGTTCATGAGTTATGCGTTATACAGACACACACACAGACAGCCAGACATCATCGCGAAAATAGTCAAAACGGATTCAGGGGACCTCAAAACGTAAAAATCCGTCGAAAACTCGAGGTCGAAAAAATCATGATTCCTATACTTTCCTTATATCTGTATACAGATAGGAAAGTAAAAATTAATTATCCTTTTTATATTCGATTTAAATTGTTAATTACCAAATAAACTCAAAAACGAATTAGTTTTTCTTTTATAAAATTGTCATATAACATTGGTACACCATGTAAACTTTGGCACGTAAGTTAATACCTTATTGAAGATACAATTATTATCGAAAATGTAGGTTAAATAGAGCGCCGAGACTCAGAATTCGTTTCGCTTTGAAATTTTTGCGTACCTATTACCTAATTGTACCTATTTGAATGTCTATCGGTCTCAAGAACACGCAAAGGAGAAATTATCTCCTAATATGGTTAGTCTTACAAGAATATGCTACTTAATTCGCGAAAAATAATGAGACATCCATTCTATGTAATTTCCATAAAAAGTATTACCTACCTCACTTTCAGTAATAGGATTTCATTTTTTTTTAAACACAGCTATAAAAATATTGACGATGATTCCTAGCACGCATAAAAAAATGGATCTAGAACGCTTAAAATCACACCCACGTAAGTATCATGATACCCCCTTTTGCAGAAAATATTTTTTTACGTAATGCAAAGGATAATCCATAATAAGATTAATTTCTTTAGTGATTCAATGCACTACATAATATGGAGTGATCCACAAACAAAGTTTGGAAAGTGGACTTTGGAAAAATTCATCATCGGAGCTTAAGCAGAAATTCAACCAAGGATATCAGAAGTTCTGATTGCCGTGCAATATTGAAACACAGTACCTATCCTATATTGTGGAACATTGCTGAAAAATACCTTTTCCATCATTATACCTAGTTACAAACATTTTGACAAGACAAAGAAACTGTTTGAAAATCAAAGAACGTGGAGATTTTAAGACTGCAACCAAATTTAGCTAAAGTGGCAGAAAGTTCATTCATCACACTGAATTATTTATTTTTTTATCGTTACTTTGCGATTTTAATATATTTTTTTTTTAAATAATTACCTACTTAAGTATTTTTACATAATTTGTATTAATAATTTTATTAATATTACACTTGATATTTACTAAATTTTTTGTCTATTTCAAGTTAGCCAAAACCAATTTTATTTTTAGTTACTCAAACGTCTGATTATATTTTATCAAAACGAATCATACTGATCTCAAAAAACTACTTTATTTAATAAAAATAGTTTAGCTTCCACTACTTCATTAGAATTCTAAACATCGTCGGTTGAAAACTTACGCATTCAATTTTAAGTTAACGGTATTTTGTTAAACATTCAACCTTGCCATATATGGGAAGTAAATGAGAATAAATAACATCTAAGTCTATTCTCTTTGCATGATATTATTTACATTTCAAAGATAGAGTTCTGCAGAAATTGAAACTGATATCGTTTGAAATCTAATGAAAGTAGAACGGACATTTTGGTATTTCTTGCAACAGAGGTCAGTCGGTATTTGTATTTGGTTGGATAGTGATATTTGATTAAATTCTATGGTCTTACTTCTCAACAAAAGTGAAGGTTTCCACTTGCAACAGTACGCTACAGTCTTGGCGCCACTATTCAAAAAAAAATATTTCATTTTGTTTTTAATATTAACTATTATTTCTACTATTCAGCCATCAATGGGTCGCCATAACAGCAAAACTAAGTGGTAGCCATAAATAATTTATATAGTCAACAAAGAAATGTGCAAAAATCGATTTAGATCCAAGAACTGAAATGTGCATTTTTTGGAATTGTGAAAATATAGACGTCCAGACTATTCCCTATTCCCGTATAAGCAATCTTTTAGGTTAAAGTGATTCTGACACTCCATAAGAATATAATAAATAATACAATTGTTTCAACAATAATGAATTAATATCTAATTCAATCATAGTGTTTATTGCTTTCTTAATACCCCAATCTCTCTTAATTTCGCAAAATTCTAAAGATGTTGTTTTATCAATATAATAAAAAACCCACTTACCTTTATTAAAACGATGTAATTTCAATGTATACTCCTCTTAAAGATGTAAAAGTACAATGTCCAAACAGCACTCGCGATTTTAAGCCGGAGATACCGATAGGCGCTGAGAAGAGAAACCCACTAGTTTTTATATAATCTGAAAAAAAAAAAAAAGAAATATTTCAAATATAATTCACGAAATAACATTTTTAAACATTAATATTAAGACAAATAAAAGCTATAAAGTTATGGACAGTAATTTTCAAAAATAACATGGTAACATTTAATGAAAATATTTCGGAAAATTAAAAAACTAAGGTAAAGTAATTAGTTTTTTATTTCTTCTGTCCATATATGGAAATAAAAATTTAGTTTGTTTATCATTGTGACCACTTTTCATTTAGTAGATTTTTTATTTATTTATGTAAAACAACGATTTTAATAAACATTATCTTAAATAACTTTAAACAATACAAAAACTTTCACTCTAATATTATTTTTTTTTTATTTGGTGTCATCGGCATCAACTGCTAAGGTCATTAGCCTCGTGTTCTTGTAGGCTTTGTTACTGTTTCCTAGCGCCACTTTAGGAACAGCACTGTTAATTAGAACCCAACAGTGAATTTACAATTTTCCATTCATACCCTATATTTTAATTGTTCTAAAACGTTTTGTTCCTAATTTGAATACCAAATTATTTTAATATCATACTTTCTTTGTATTTTCTTTGTTTACAAGAATTCATATTCCATATCAACATATTACACTTATTTAAACATTTCACGCATGCCAGTTCGGTCTATGAATCTAGTAGGCAACATAGCATCACGTGCTTACATTACTGCGTACCAATGCACACTTGTTTAGATAACAGCCAATCACACGTCACTTTGGAGTATGCATACGTTTCCTGAATATGTTCTGGATATCTATATCAACTTAAAGTTAAAATTTTAATTATATATTGTTACGTTTTTTAATTTATTTGATTTGAAAAAACATAAATTATAAAAAAAATGATTTAAAAGTTGTATTATATATCAGTAAATTAATAATTTTTTTAATACTAATAGATATATTACTATTATGTATTTTAGTTCATTAACGTTTCAATTATTAACGTATTTATGGATAGAAACATAAAAAATATAATGAAAATCTTGAAATGACAATTCTAGAGAGCAGAAGGGAATGAATTGAGAAAAAGGAAAAATGTAAAACTGCTATATGGACAAGTAGAGGTCAGCTAAAAGTCAGAGTAAAAAAATGTAAAACAGAAGCAAATAGAAGAAGAGGACGGCGTATAGAGATGTGTAAATGGGACATAAGAAAGGTGGAAATCTCTAATTGGAACCAAACTGTCCATATGTAGAAATAGATGGAGAAATATGAAAAATTTAAAATAATGATTCCGTAAAGCTTTCATCGTTGTATTAGTATAATGATTAATAACTAAACAATTTTGCAAAAAAAGAATTGTGTGCGTCTAAATGTTCGTTAACAAAAATGTAACCATTATGTCAAGATCAGATTCCCAGTGTACATCGACCCCTTGGGTTCTGAGTTTGGGAATCCCTGGTCTAGATGAAATAAATATACAAATACGTGAGGAAGAATTTTTATATTAAAAAAAATAAAACAAACGTGACATAACTGGTAGATTACGTATGTTAATCAGCCCCACAAGGCGGAAAAATCAATTTAATTCACTTGTTTCTCAAGGCTAAGACGTGAGACATGTAAAGAACGCCCTGCCCCGAAGCACTTCATATATCTCTTCTTCGTTTCGTACATCGAAGAATAGTTATGTGTCGCACACGAAATAGAAGGAAGATCAGCAAATAAAGAAGATTCAGGACAATTACCGGACATAAACCAACGTCTATCAACGTGTACAACATTGGATTCAACCAACCAGATAAGATCTAATAACTATGGTAGTCGATGTTCCTGAAAAAAAGAAATTGTTAGCTGTAGAGCAAACATTCTGATTTTATAGTCTTCTACATGTGTGTTTTCTACTTTTTTATAGTACATCGATAAAAAATGATTTTGTGATTACTACACTCACATTATCCATGAACTAATTATATTTTTTAAATTGATTCTTTAACGTCTCTTAAATAGGTGCTTAACCAATCTCGTGTATTATTTTTTGAAGTAAGCAAATATAATTATTTCATTATTTTTGACGAGCAAATTACCACATAACACGAAACAAGCATCTTAAGATAGGATCCGTCTACGCCTCGCATTTTTTCCTCTATTGTGGAAATTGTTGGTTAAAAAACTGGTGCGTAAAACTACCTGAACACGGAGAGTTATCTTAATGATGCAAATAGGTTGTTTTTTGAATATATTGTTAGTGTAACAAGGTATGCAGAACATTTTAAAGCTACTTTGCTTGAAATTCGTTCCCTCTGGGAAGTATATAAATGAATAGCTTACTATATATTTTTTTGTAAAGTACCTTACCCATTCTGGGCGTTGGCGACCCCTCCACATATCACGGTGCTAGATCGCTTAAGACGACATAGACATATGAGCCCTGCGACACGTCTTTAAAATATATCTCTGCTTATATAGATTGAATACTAAAAGAACTGTTAGCTACAAATGGTAGTATTTATAAAGGTCAAGATTTCAGACTAAAAGCATTTTTATTTGAACAATTCAATACGAATCGTAGAAATACCAATAATATTGTGAAATACATAAAAAAAACAGTCGATAACAATACAATTAAATCTGAATAGTTCAATATTCTACTAAAATTATGTACAGAGTGAAAGAAATATCTGGATAGAGTGATTTATAACTGCTTTTAACAAAGATATTAAAATGAGTTAACTAAATTTTGTTATTAATCAGTATTTGATTGCAGAGTATGGTTTAGAAACAATAAGAAAATATCAAAATTTTATCCAAAAGTGATAGCAGGCATATTTATAGGATATGACAATTATTCAAAAGCCTATAGAATACGAAATAAAGATGTTTCTGCATTTAAAGCCAAACCAAGTTGCAAAATAAGTAAGAAAAATGGCGTTACTCTAAAGACTGATTTTTTAAATACAAATAGAGATATTGATAAAGACGTAATTGAAAAAAATGAGAAAGAAGAAGACAATAGCATCATTAAAGGTAAAAATAAAAAATTTATTTCACCGTTCTGAATGTTCCAGTGATTCTATCTTCTTTTCCATCTGTTTTATTTTCTCCTTTACAGAAGACATATTGTTTTCCACATCAGAGGAGATTTCATTTTTTAGGAAAAACATGAGAAGCAAATTTCATCTTTTAAAAAAGAGATTTTGTTTTCCAAATTGGAAGAAATTTCTGTTTCTAAAGAAGTTATGTCAGAAGTCACTTTTTCTTCTAAGGAAGAAATATGTCAGACGAAACTTTACTTTCTAAGGAAGTAATATCACTTTTTATAGAAAAAACCTCTGAAGAAACTTTATTATCTAAAGAAGAAATGTCAGAAGAAACTTTAGATTCTAATGAGGAAATGATAGAAGAAATATTGTTTTCATAGAGGTTATATATCAAAGTTTTTTTCCAAAAACAACGACACCATAAAACTTTTCGAAACAAAATTGTTATTTTTAAAAAATTACAGAGTGCTTCGAACGTAGCAGAGCATAGCTTTTTTCTAAAAATAACCACACCGCATCTTTGGGCTATTTTTGGACTATTATTAGGCTCTTGAAATAGTATAAAAACTTTACTAAAAATATGCTTTGTTGGAACAAAGTAGAGAACCTTTTTGTCTAAAAACAACCACACCAAATTTTTTGCTCTTGAAATATAAAACTATTCAAAAAATCTGATGTGTCCAACACATGACTTTCCTATCTAGTTATATAAATGTTTAGAGGATAAACTAAATATATACATTGTCCACATACATCTACCTCGAAACATTTTTCTATAGATATTCATGGAAAACGAAAATACTGAAAAATTTTAATTTCCTACAATTTTTTCATTACGGTCAATTTTAGAAAAATCATGTATAAACAAAAATTATAGAGATCGATATCGCAAACAACTTTTATTTCAAAAACTTTCATAATAAAAATCAGAATTTTGCACATTTTGTCAAATTTCTCGAATACGGACCATTTCAGGAAATTTTTACATAAAACAAAAATTACAGATAATAATATTAGAAGTAACTTTTATTTGAACAATTTTCCTCTCCAAACATAAATAACAGATATATTCCATAAAATATAAAAACGGCCTCCCATAAAGTACCCCCCCAGATGTTCCGACTTTGTCCAAAATCCAATCATTTCACGTCAGGCCGAAATAAACCTTACGTTTAAAATTTAATGTTTTTTTCTTTATCCGTTTTTGAGTTTTCTTCAAAATTCGAAATTTACACATTTTCTCAAATATCTCGAATACGGTCCATTTTAGAGAAATTATGTAAAGAATAAAAATTATAGAGAATTATATTACAAACAACTTTTATTTGAACAATTTTTATAAAAAAATATTTTTTTTACATTTTGTCAAATTTCTCGAATACGGACCATTTTAGGAAAAATTTGTATAGAACAAAAATTATAGATAATAATATTAGAAGTAACTTTTATTTAAAGAATTTTCTTCTCCAAACGTAAATAACAGATATATTCCATAAAATATAAAAATGACCACCTATAAAGTACCCCCCAAATGTTCCGACTCTGCCCAAAATCTAATCAGCTCATTAGACGCTGAAACAAAGCTTAAGTTTAAAATTTGGTGTTTTTCTGTGTATCGGTTCATGAGTTATGCGTTATACAGACACACACACACAGACACACAGACACACACACACACAGACATCATCGCGAAAATAGTCAAAACGGATTCAGGGGACCTCAAAACGTAAAAATCCGTCGAAAACTCGAGGTCGAAAAAAATCATGATTCCTATACTTTCCTTATATCTGTATACAGATAGGAAAGTAAAAAGTTATTATTTTTTAAAAACTACAGGGGTGCTTTGCTAGCTTTGAACGAATCCAGCGGAGCACCTTGGTTTTTTATATATTTTTTTTTTAATAAACACCAAATTTTTAAGCTATTTTTAGGCTCTTAAAATATTCCAAAATGTTACTTAAAAATTGCTATTTTTAAATAATACAGGGTGTACTTTGCT